CTTCGGAGGCCGCTTCCAACGCTTACTGACCTTTGACATGCCCCATACCTCCCCCTTCTACATGCGCTTCTCGCTCTTCGCCGGCGCAAAACACCACCCCATCCTCGTCATGGGCAACGATAAGTCAAAGCTCTCCTTCTGGGACCTCAACGCCCTCTGGATCGGCCGCGCACAACAGTCCACCGCCTCCCGTGGTGGGCGCGGGAAGAGACTCCGGGGCGGACGGGTTGGCTCCCTCTCGCGACCGAACGACGAGCCCGCGGCTGAGGGCGACGAATCCGACTCATCCTCCAGCTCCGAGTTCGGGGACGAGGCGGAAGAGGAGGAGGAGGAGACACCTGTGGGTACGCCTGTGCGGGCTGCAAGAGGTGGACGCGGTGGCAGGGGAGGCAGAGGTGGCAAGTCGAACCGGCAGAAGGCCAAGGAGGCCCGGTTCGATATCACGGATCCTTTCCGGCCTATCGCGCCGCATTATAATGTCACGGTGCCCAAGTATAACTTCACGTTCAGACAAGTGGCGTGGTCGAACTGTGGGAGCTGGTGTGTTGCGGTTGGGGATATCGGGATTGTGTGTATCTTTAGACGGTGGATCGATGCTAAGGCTGCGAGGAAGGAGTAGTGGGTTGGAAGTCATATAACCGCTAGAGACTCGAGAAGTAGGGAGAAGCAGCGGTAGACATGGCATAGGCTAAGTACCAAAGCTTCCACGCGTAGAATTACAGAGTCATCGAGATCTATATATGGCTCGTGTGGGCGTGAACCATGGGCGCTCATCACATCTGATCAATGTGGCTATTGGTCGGACGGACGATCGAGGTCCAGGATGAGCGTCGTCACACAGGAATGCTGCACCGTGGTGGACGAGGAAGATGAAGGCCAGGAACATGAGAGGGTGCTTGCGGTGCTTGGGAGGGTGCTTGCGATGACTGAGCGGATCTATGCCCTGCCAATGCTCCATACGCCACGATCTTCAACACAGCCGCGACACCACCGAACAGTGACGCTAGGCCTACCGTCATCACATACCCTCATGCACAGCCCTACATCTTCACCTCACCAATGCAACGCGACGCAACAGAACATTCAAGCATTATCCGTTCATTATCCCACCTCAATTTTGTACACTCCCCCCGTCCCTCCCTACCCTGCTCCTTTTTTTTCCATGTCTCCTTCCCTAAACCAACCCAGCCTCCTTCTCCCTCATCTCCCCCCTCGTCCCACTCGGGCTCATCCCCCCTTCACTACCCGATCCCACACCCGAATGACTATACTCCTCATCACTGCTCAGCCTCGCGAACCTCAAATGCCACTCCGACTGCTCGTACTGGAACGGCGTCTTCCCGTTCTTCCCATACCAGAGGGGTTCAGCGACGGCCACGTCTCGGACCGACGTCCAGGGGTTCTTCGTGCGTGACGCGAGGTGGAAGAGTACGTCGACTTCTTCTAGGCTGCGGCAGCCGGTTTCGGGGTACAGGAAGTAGATTGTCGGGATGAAGATGAAGTTTCTGTTACATTCAGATGTTAGTAGATGAGGGAGAAAGGGGGGGGGGGGGAGAAGAGGTGAGAGTAAAGGAGACGTACAGGACAGCAAAGATGATGTAAGTCTTGTACCCGATGCTCACGAACGATACCGGAGCGATGAACACGACGGCAAAGTTAGATAGCCAGTTGGCCGACGTAGCGAGGGCGTTGGCCGGCCCGCGGACAGGGAGGGGGATCAGCTCCACCGCCCACAGCCAGGACATGCCCTGCCAGCCGATGGCGAAGAAGGAGATGAAGATGAAGAGCACGACGGCGATGACGATGCGTGTAGCTTCGTTATTGACGGCAGCCATGATGGCGAGCACGATCATGCAGATGCACATGCCTGTGCTGCCGAACATGGTCAGCGTGCGGCGGGTCCAGAAGCGGTCGAGCCCGATGACGGACACGAAGGAGATGAGGAAGAACTCGGTCGAGGCGCAGGCGGCGAGGATGCGGGCGGGGTTGCCGATGATCTGGGCTTCGTAGACGAACATCTCGCCGAGGTACTGGATGAAGAGGTTGATGCCGGACCATTGCTGCATGAACTGGAGGAGGACGGCGAGGATGATGCGGTGCAGGTAGCGGTAGTCGCCCATGGAGAAAGCTTGCTTGCTGTCGCCGGAGGCCATTTGGAGGATGGCGTCTTTGATCTGCAGGAATTCTGCGCGGATCTCGGGGTGGGAGGGGTCGAGGTCATTGAGGGCGGAGAGGACGTCGAGAGCTTCTTCTTCGCGACCGCAGAGAATCAGCCATCGGGGTGACTCGGGCATGTGGTTGAGGAGGAAAAAGCATGGCAGCACCCAGATGATCTGGCCTGCGATAGGAAAGCGCCAGGATACTGTGCTGGGATCGGCGAAGGATAGGAAGAAGTCGAACCAGTAGGCGATGGCGACGCCGAGAGCGATACATGCGCCGGAGGAGACCATGAGCATGCGACCACGGCGATGGGCTTTTGTGCACTCAGCCTGCCAAGCTGGAGCAGTAGAGGCGTTGAAGCTTATGACGTGTGTGAGATATGGTGCTGCAACATATGGCGCATCGACTTACCCGTTACCAAGTCCAGCAATACAACGTCCGACGATGTACTGAGCCAAGCTGAAGGACGAGCATTGGATGATTTTGCCGATAATCAAGAGGGATATTCCCAGTAGCAGAGTCTTACGGCGACCGAGCCTATCTCCAATGAAGACTGTGGCGAGTGCGGACACGAAACATCCAAGATTCCATGATGCTACCACAATACCTGGTGATCTTTAGCGTATGTGCTTCTGATCACATGCAACGATACCAACCTTGATTGACGGCAACATGGTGTGTGCCATATCCTAGCAGATCAATCTGTGGGAAGTAGGCACGAAACGCTGGGACGTTGATCAAACCACCGACATCAGCTTGGGACAGTTAGTTACAATGTAGAATGAGATCAGGATATTTGCGATTCACGAACATTGACCGTATCCGAATGCGCTGGTACGCTGTCAGTATATTGATCGCTTGTCATGTGGACAAGACAGGCCTGACCCAGACGGGCGGGCTGTCGGTGTCTCAGATCGATTTACTCACACAAAGATCAGACCGCTCACAAGTGTGATAGCAGTGCTAAGCTTGCGACCGCGAAAGCCCAAGTACTTGTTGAAAATAGCCATGGTGGACCAGCACCGTCAATGGCAACACGCAAAGAAGATGGACGACGATTGTTGCGAACGGGCGATGCGCAGGAGGGTTCAGGATAGAAGTAGTTCGCGAAGGGACGGGCCAGAAAAAGCATGTCATCGTACCTACCATCACCCGGCACTGAAGGCTTGCGCTACTACGGAGGTACGCCCGTGCGAGTAACTACTGATGCAGGTGGCCGCCTTCACTCGGCACAGAGATGACATTTCCAGCCTGTGGTGCGCCAATCACCAGTCGAAAGTGCGCACAGAAGGCGGACAAGTGCAACCGTTAGCGGGCAGCAGCGCGACCAGGGACTCTCCAAGATGCGCGATGAGGGTGGTGGAGTAAAAAGTGGACAGGGGTGCGAGTCAAGGAGGGCAAGATCGGCCTGCAAAGATAGATCGGCTCCACGGTCCCGGCTATTTGGGTTTTGACGAGGCTGGACGCCCTGCGACGATGCTTGCGAATGCGACCAGGATTAGCGCTTGATCCGGTGCTTATTCTGCGATGCAAGGCGTGCACGATGAGATTCAGGCTGGGGGAGCGCCGAGTGTTTCTTGTGTGTCTTCCCAGCGGGCACACAGGATATTCCTGGTATGGTATGCAGCGCCGTTGGCGACACGCAAATCCAGACGTTCGTCCAAGGTGGTGCGGCTTGGATGCAGCTCATACGTTGACGCCAATGCAGCACCACGAGTTACAACGTCAGGACTCGTGCTCGGGGTCAGCGAAGGACAAGGTGTGGCTGCGATTCGGCGGGCCCCAGCCAGCGCCGGCGTGGATTCCGGTGCCCTCGTTCGCACTCTTGACGCCACCACTCGTAGTTGATCTTGCATCTCGGGCCCTGACTCGCTGGTTTTGTGGCCGAACATTGCATCCCGGTCCATCCATCAGTTCATCATCTCGGATACAAGGCTATGCCTTTGTTTGTTGTTATTGTGCACAAAAAGCTGTGGTCAAATCCGTGACGCCCGCATGACCTCGCTGTTTTCGTGCATGTCGGTAGTGGTTGTGGGATCGCCAAAGGAGCCAGCAGGCTGATCCTGATCTGCCGCGTCCCTGATCCTTGCCTCCACCCCTCCTCAGAGGCGCAATCTGGTTGGGGCCCAGCCTGGCCTATGTCATCCTTGGTCGATTGACAGAACACCTGCACGTCGCCTCCTGTCACTCGAATCGGGTTCTGATTGCCAGGGCGACATTCGTCTACTCATTTCTTTTGGCGGCATCTATGGTTCCTTGACAAGCGAGCCACTTACTTTGGAAAAGCTAGCAGTGACATGTTCCCTACGTTCGCCTGTAAATTTGGATTGTATACGGGGATGTACTGTACTGGAGTATCTCCGGAAGCATTGCCGCAAGGACGATGATGGTTGCGGGATGTTTGATCTGGTACCCCCGTCTCGCTTTGCATCGCTCATTTATCAGTCAGGCCTCCCTCAGGGATACTTCACTGCTCATGTGCAATGACATAGTTCGTCTCCCTCCAGCATGTTGCGCCATGACAGATATTTTGAAATCAATTTTGATATAGCTGAAAATCACCAGAGTGTAGGAATTGTCAAGAGTCTGCCACTGACGTAGCAGTTCCGCGCTATGATCTTAGGCAACTTTGCCGTGCTGAGATGCGAACATGTCAATCATCAATCTCAAGGCGTTCATCGTGCTTTCTTCGTCGCTCTTCGCTACGGGATAACCCTTCCGCACTCCCGACCCGACTACAAGCGCACAAAAGTGCGAAAAATCCAAAAATCCAAACTTCGGTCGATGTGAATGAAGCCATGCATGCATAACATCCCCTGGACAAAAACCGAGCAAAAGAACGATTCTCATGGGACTCGAACCCACAACCTTCCGCTGCCCGAACGACGGGATCGAATCCCATAGGAGGCGGACGCGCTACCATTGCGCCAAAGAACCGGAACATTCTTGGTTCGACCAAAGGCTTATGTTGTATATATTACTCATTCTTGCAGATCAAGGCACGGCACAGGCGCCCCAGGGTTCTCTCGGCCCGGCTTAGTTCGGATTCACCATCCAATACACTGTGCTAACGTGCACTTGTAGGAAGTAGCTACCATGTGCGTCAACAAGTCACAATGCCACTGACCTGTTCAGACGTTCGAAAAGAAGTCCAATGGTTCGCTATTCAGATTCTGCCCCAGTGCGTTCTAGACGTAGACGCAAATACATCATCGTCTGATCTATATACCACGCTCAAAGTCTTTAGCAGTGCAACCGGTCCAACTCCTGAGTGGTCTTTTTCGCTCACGACGATTTCGCGGCATCAGTATCGTCAGACACGTTCGGACTATCGGTGTCTCCAACCCTGCCATCCTCTGAGCCACCGTTCTTGTCACTATCGTCGCCAGGGTTGTCGTCCTCAGTCTTGTATCCGCCAGGAATTTCCTTGGAGTGAGTAGTTGCATCCGGTGCCTGGGAATCATTCGCCAGCGTCGGAACAGCCTTGCCCTCTTTCTCAGAGGCGTTGCCTGCGGAGCTCTCTTCATCGCCTTTCTCGCCATGTTCCGTGGTACGATCGTCGGAGAATTGCTGGTGGTGAGCAGGCTAACAAATTTGATCTTGTTTGCCATCTTCACCTACCGGCACTGGAAGACCATTTTCATCAGCCACTATTCTGGTATATTTGGAACTCGACCAGCGAAATTCCATGGTGTCCAGGATAGATCCATCCGTCTTTGGTCGGATGCGTGCGAGCCGCAGTTGCTGAACTTTTCGCACTGTCGGAGCCACGAATTTTAGTATACTACAGTGGGATCAGCACAGATAAGCAGTGAAGCGACCGACGAGCTCACAGACTTTTGCAGACATGTCGTCAGTCGGGGGTCTCAAGTCATGAGGAAGATCGGTGATGATTTTTTGTGCATGTTTGGGCTAGAAGTTTTAAACTGCTCAACTCACCCGTGAACGGCGGACTTGAAGCGCTCGGTAAGCTTGCTGCTGGACATATGCACAGTGTCACCTTCGACTTCACCTTCACCTTCACCTTAACCTTCAATTGGCTTAATTGAATTATGCTCACTGTCACATACTCACTTCCCTTGACCTCCCTTCACCCTCCTTACCTCTCTTTCTCTTTCCCTCGCCGCCCATCTATCCAACCTCTTCGTTTCTTTCCCAGATATCCCTCCTTCGTCGCAACCACTCCTTCGACTATTGTGATAAAGTATCGAGAGACATGTCTACCAACACAATGCCTGATGCTGAAAAGCAATTGCGGAAGGATGTTGTGCTTCTCAAGGCCGCGGAAAGCCTTAGTGAGATGGACACGCAAATGAAGGCCTTGACAGGCCGAAAGGTTGATGCCTGTACCGCATCGGCGGAGACCGAAGCAGATAGTTTCGACTTGCTCGAATGTCTTCTGCTTTGCCAGGACGCCAATGTCGAGACAGATCAAGCAGACATGGAGGTCGACCCGGTTAACGAGGAGCCCACTGATGCAGATTATGAAACCAACGACTCACTTCACGGTGCTGAGATTCCAACTTCAGAGGCCTACGTTCAGGTCGGCAACTCTGTTTTTGGAATCGAAGAATATCTGGGCGACGAATGGTCTCAGCAGATTGTAAGTTAACCACTTAGGAAAGGTAGACATGAATACTAAGCCCGTCACAGCTTAAGGTGCATGATCCTGAACAGCCACTTGAGCCGCCATCCGGCATGGCCACTGAGCTGTGGGAGTGGCAGAAGAGCCTTCTACCGAAGATGCAAGTCATGGGCGACTCCCATCGTCGTGGTGGAATCATTGGCGATGAGAAAGGTATGGGTAAGACCTTGGCTGCCATTGCCTACTGTCAGGCCCGCCATCGTGGCAATGCGCGCAGGTTATCTACCTTAGTCATCACTACCAATACTGGCGTCGCAGACTGGGTCAACCAGTTGGTCACGCACTTTACACCTGTGAGTGGCTTTCACATTCTCCTATTGAGTAGTGCACTGACTTCGCTGCAGGATGCTCGACCCCATCACTTGGTTCTCAATGATCCCAGCCTACGACCTCAGAGTCTGCTTGAAGGTCGCTACGACTTCGTGCTGTGCTCGTTCGACTTTTTGGAGCTGCAATTCGTCCAATTGCTCGAACACCTCCACCGCGACCACTCGGAAAAGGAGTTGGACATGGGAACCGTCAAGCAGTATCTGGAGTCCAATGCAAAGCTTGGTTTGACCATCGAGGTCTTGAACTGTCTTTACACCAAGTTCTGGCGAGTCATGGACCGCCCATTCGACGAGGTCATCGTTGACGAGGCTCATTGTGTCGGACAGCAACATACCCTTCGCCACATGGCTATCGATGCACTCCATCGTGATCAGACTTTCCTGTTGATGGATGGATTCCCTCCGGATGACTGGACCTTTCTCTGCGGGCACGTCAATTTGCTCCAGGACCACGTGTTCAACACCTACTTCAAGTTCATGAAGCACTTTGCGTCTCAGAAAGAGGACGGGACATTCGCTGACTATCCGTCCGAGACCAAGTTCAATCGTTTGGTCAAGTTCCTCCAGGCGATGGTCGTCGCTAGACCTAGGGCTTTGCCGCCGTCGGGTAGCGAAGAGGTTCCGGATGGAGGGAAGAAGCGCTTCATGCAGAGCAAGGCCGACACGAAGGTACGATTGTCGGCCTTCTTGCCTTGCTATGATGACGTCCAGCCGATCATCCCCTTTCAATATCCAGGCGGAGCTGGGGAACACCACAAGCCCACACCCGCGATGAAGGCGTACTATAAGAGGAAGTGAAGTAGAAGTAGCAGCCTGACACTCCGGATGGTGCTGAGTTGTTCCCTAGGATTCAGGGCAGGGGGATTGGGATGCGATGGGAATTACAGGGCACAATCCAACTTGCATAGTTATCCACTGCGCAATCGAATCAAGCACCTCCCCAATGACTCCAAACCAATCATTTCTATTGGGCCCATATGTCACTGTCACAGCTCGCCATATCGAGCCGACCCCCATCTATTTGTTCCAATAGATCCAGGTCCGCGGACGATTTTCGACGATCCAAGCCTGCCGATTGATCGACTCTGTTCACCGACCCCATCAATAGTGAGAGTTAACATTGATGAGATCTTCTGACGATTTCTCGTGCCGTCGAGGTGCGCAATGTACTTTAGTTGGAGAGAGCAACCGAAGAAGTCTGGTAATCGCAATTGTCTTGTCTTGTCTGTCTGCCATCGCGCGATCCTTCCGTCAAGCTATCCAGCTGTCCAGCTATATAGCCATCCATCGTTGATCCCTCGACTTCCCGTAGCAGTACTCGAATCCTCCGACAGCAGAGGCATCAGACTATCCCTACATCGGTGCGTGCTTCTTCACCTTCTGTTCGTCGCTCGATATCCACAACGACCTTTACTTGTTCACACCAAACAGGTCTAGGTCCTTGGACAAATCTTGACTCCAAGTACAGAGAAGGTAGTATATCCAGGCCCGCTTCGATGTTCGCCCAACAACGATGAAGTGATACAGAACAGGACTGCAGTCAGAAATTATTCATGGCTCTTCATGTATTTCAAAGAGAGCTACGGTTGATTGTGACTCAACTACTTGATAGAGACTACGGTTTGAAACCTAGTGTTCAAGCTGCATGCTCTCGACTGCTATCCGTCTGCAATGCCAAACCCTCACCCCACCCAATGATGCGATTGTTACCCTCTGGGCATGATCACTTGCGTCGCCGTCTCATCTTTGATTCATGCTGTGCCACCCTATGCTCCTTCGTCATGGCCGTCAGCGCTTGAATCGTCTGTGTCCTCCATTCCTTCATCCTCGGAGTCATCGGAGTCCTCGATCTCTTCGAGCGACTCGGGGCGTGCGTTCAGCGAGGTTTTGACCGCGCGAACGAACTTGTCCTGCAAGCCAATGATGGACTGTAGAGCCTTGCCAACCTCGTCCCCATCAGAGTCGCTTCGCGACTCCCTGAATGCGTTGAACCGACTGAACGTTGCCTTCAGCAGATGTGACATAGACCTCACAAGAGTGAGCAGTTTACCATCGGCGGTGTTCATGAGGTCCTGTTCCGGGCGCGGGTTATGGCGATGTATGCGTTGCGTTATAGAGTAAGCTCGCTCAGCGGCCACGGGTGGGAGAAGCGAGCGATACGCTGTCGCAGCGAGTGTGGCTGGAGGTAGCATCGTTGCGACGGAGCGGTCGAACTCCAGCAACTCATGGTAGCAACCGACGAAATCAAGGATCTCATGGTAACGCAAGATGGTCTGATTGTGATTGAGACCCATGGACATTGAATGGACGAGTTTCGGTGTCAGCTTTAGGTCATCGGCCTGAGGGAAGCATTTCTGGTCCTTGTCAGTACAGGCAATCTCTAGATGGATCATGATACCGACCTTGAATGCTTTGATGAAAGCGTTCTGCTCAGCTGGATTGAGAGGCTCGTTGTAGCCATTCGAGAACTTTCTGATGACCAAATCCGCCTCAAAGATGGCTAGAGAACGCTCGCCGAGCACAATGGTTGCGGTCTCAGTGAACTTGTGAAAAAATCTCTTGTCCCCAGTCTCGAAGAAAGCGATACGTGATCGATGCATCTCATTGAGCATACTGCGAGTGTACTCTGCGTCGGAAACAGCCGGAGTCTCGGAGGACGTCTGCGACACGGCATGGCGGTCCCCCATATTGGTAGTTGTGATGCGATATAAGTTATGATGGGGTTGTAGAGATTGACTGAAGTCGCTGGAGAGTGCAAGTGTGAAGGAAAAGAATGGGAGAAGCGTGGCTTATGTGTGTTTGCGAGAGGGAGTTTTCTTCGATGAGGGAGTGAAGAGGTAAAGTGAAAGCTCAGGTCTATGCCGAAAGGGTGTATTCCCTAGGAGAATGGCGAGTGTTTTTGTGGCACTTTACTTCACTGAGCGCGTTGCTCTGGTGAAGAAGCCCTGGCTTGCGTTTCACAT